CAACTCGGAGCTCTTTTTGGGTTCTCCCCATAAGGCAGCCTCCCCCAGCACACACTACACATATAAATGGACTGCCTGGCCCTTCAGGCTCAGCCTCATGCCACCTTAACCAGGAAGCCACCCCACTCTGTTCCTTTCACTGTGACTCTCCTGTGCTCTTGGTTTCCCGTAATTACTCCAAAACCAGCGAGTGTCTGATACCACTCTGTCCCAGAATCCAGTCTTGCCTGACCCCAGGCCCCTCACAAATTTTCTAAATATATAAATGAGCACAGGTGTAGCCATTATATTGGCAGAGCCTGAGTCCTCAAGGATGAGCAGAGCTGAGATGGAGTTGGATGACAGGCAAGGCCTAGCCCCTCTGGGAAGGCACAGTAGATGCAGCAATGATGCCTCAAGTCCAACATCCCCACACGTGTCTGACCCTGGGACACTAACCACCCAGAGCTGCCCCAGCTGGAGCCCTGAACTTCCCACTTTAGCAGCATCAGCAGCAGCCCCCGTTTTCAGTACTCCTCTCTAGAAACATCACCTGGCTCTAAGGGAACTTGCTCTTCATCATTCACCTACCCCTGGGACCTGGACTGAAGTGGACTGTCTCCTTCCAGGATTGGATATACGTATCCTATTCTTCATGCCCGACCACAGAAGTGTGTTTAAATAAATTCTGGTGAAGGTTCAGTGATGAAATGTGATACATACATTTTTCGCTAGGAAACCTATTTTGTGAAGAATTTGATGATGAAATGTTCACAATACAATAGAAAAAAAAGCAGATCACAAGACATCATATTTAATACATTCCTGATTTTATTTTTTAAAAGTATCTTTCATAAACTGATGCAAAAAAAAGTATGTAGAAAATTCTGGAAAACTATGAAAAAATAGTAAGAGATAATTCCTCTGGGTGATAGGATTACAGATAAGTATTGTTACCTTATTCTTTTCAATATCATCCAATATTTCTGAAATGAATATGACTTTGGACTTAAAAAACATTATTTCTTGCAATAATATTACAAGAAGGAAGGAAGATGATATGTTCAAAGACAGCCCAGGCAACTTAATAACATGCTGTCTCAAAGTAAAATATGAAAGAAGAACTGGGAATGTAACTCAAAGATAGAGGGTCCCTGGTGGTGGGGGGTAGTGGGGAGAATGAAGAAAGGGAGGGCGAGAGAGACAGAAAGGAAAAAGAAAGTAATTAAGAAATCTATTTTAAGAAATGGGAGATCTTATTGCTCTATAAAAGAGGACAAAGGATAGGGCCTGAGCCAAGGGCTGGGAATTGAGGAAGACATAGCAGTTTCCAGACACTTGATGAGGCTGAACCAGGCAGACAATGAAGCAGACAGGGTGGGGCTGAGAAATACGTGGAGGATGTTGACATATATAATATGGGAAATGATATTTGGGAAATAGAGATTTAATACATGACAAAATACATTATATATACAATCTCTGGAATTACAGATATGGGTGAGGGAGAGGGAGGACTGTGGGCTGATGCCAGTTTCAGGCTTGACTGTGGGCATTGACTTGCCACCACTGAACCCTGAGATGGGGAAGATGAGCTGAGCAGGAGGGGACAAAGGAGACAGAATGAGTCTGTTGAACTCAAGTGTCCACAGGGCAATCAAAGAGCACTGTTCTGTGAACAGATGGAACAAGTGCGAATAGTCTTCCAGTTGTTTACCTTGACCTGTGCTCCTGATAAAATTCCAGAGCACAAATCATAATATAATGTGACAACAGATACCTTCTGCTGTTTATTAAAGTCTGCTTTTCAGTGTCTGAATTGTGTGAATTTGTTTACCCTTATGGTGAAAGGACAGGAAGAAGGGGGGAAAGGAAGAAAGAAACCTGTACACACCCATGAGCCTGAGTAGATCCTGGCTAGAAAAGCTCCCTCTCACACACTCTTGGTCTCCACATGATGAAGCTATGGATTCTCTTTCAGTTTGAATAAACTCAGGTCCTGCAGCAATCCTGGAAGGAGACAGCCCACTTCAGTCCAGGTGACCAGGCCTGGTGAAGGAGAGAGCCACTCTCAGAACCTGTAGTATCCAGGGGGCTGGACTACAACAAGACCATCATCA